GCCCTGTTTTTAAGTCTGGCGATCCTGCTCTTGCTTTTAACTACCGTCCGATTTCCATTCTAAGTAACTTTGCCAAGGTCTTGGAGAAGTGTATGCACTCCCGTATATATCGTCAGATAAAGCCTTATATTTCAATCAGCCAACATGGATTTATGTCCAAAAGATCTACAGTGTCCAATTTAGCTATCTTTACACAATATGTTGCTAACTCTATCGATTTCAAAAAGCAGGTCGACGTAGTATATACAGACTTCTCCAAGGCCTTTGACAGAGTCGATCATGGTATTTTAGTAAACAAACTATATTTGTTTGGTTTTAGCAAGCCCCTTGTTGATCTCTTTATCTCGTACCTTAATAAGAGGGAACAATATGTTTATCACAATGGTTATAAATCTTTATATTATTCAGCCACTTCGGGTGTGCCACAGGGTTCCAACCTTGGTCCTCTATTATTCAACATATTTATAAATGACTTACCCGAAATGCTTAACTGTAACACACTACTTTTTGCTGATGATTTAAAGATTTTCCTGGAAATTGCTGACGTTGCTGACTGTCTTATATTACAAAATCAGCTGTTGAAGGTAGAACAATGGTGTCAACAAAATAAACTTTCCTTAAACACTAAAAAGTGCCAAACTTGCTCCTTTACTTTAAATAAGAAGCCGGTTCATTTTGACTATCTCCTGGACGGTATTCCTCTTCAGCGTACCGATAATGTCAAGGATTTGGGCATCTTTTTTGACACGAAATTATGCTTCAACAGGCACATGCAATATGTTCGATGTTCTGCGCTAAGGATGCTTGGCCTTATTGTAAGAAACTGTAAATCGTTTAATAGTATATTTGCACTAAAATCATTATTCTTTAGCTTGGTGCGTTCAAGGCTTGAGTATGGCTCACTCATTTGGTGTCCATACTATCAGACTCATAGCGACTCTCTTGAGAAAGTACAAAGACGTTTTGTTAAGTTCCTGGCATTTAGGTTAGATGGGGCTTATCCGATAAGGGGCACAAATCAATTAGATATCTTAAATCGTTTTGAAATGCAACTACTATCTGCGAGGCGTTTTATAAATTCGGTGATAATTCTTTATAAATTATTGCATGAACAACTTGATTCGCCTGTTCTCCTATCACAACTCTATTTTCGCATTCCAAGATTGAATGCTAGGTCTACTTCAGTTTTCTATACTCATGGCTCAAGAACAAATATACATTTAATGTCACCCATTCAATTAATGACTCGCAATTTCAATAGTCTACCTGACTGTGATATTAATTTTATAACTTCGGGCTCATTAATTAATATATGTAATTTACACCTAAATAATGTTAACAATTAGTTTATAGTTTTATTGAATTGCATTGTTGTTATTTTTATAATTTATATTTACTTTTCATATTATTTTGTCTTGTAATTGGAATTTTGTATTCTGTTGGGCAAATAAATATATATTATTATTATTATTATTATAATTTCCAATGGTGTAAATTGTTTCTCACATTGGTTTTCCCAGTCATCTAGTAGATTTCCTAACTCTGATATATTTTCTTCATTGTTTTTATCCTTAAGGATATTATTCTCCAAAGATTTCTCCTGGTTTTCTTTATGAATGCCTTGGATGATGCATTGAAGGTCGTTTAAAATTCTTTTCTGCTTTGAAGTCATTTTGGTACAACACTTTTATGGATCACAAAATAAGTATGATTTAAATGGAATTGACATATTGTTTTATATGTTATTTTTTTACCTGTACTGACTAAACTATACCTATATTATAATATTGTTTTCATTTTATGGTGTTTAAACAATTCGTAATCTCCTTTTCTTCAATTAGTTAAGGTAATTTTTACATAACAATTTAAAAGTATCACTTTGTGTTAGTATTTGCATTTATTTATAAAAAACCTTCAAAATGTTTTTTATACAAGTATTTTTTCAGTTGTGTCTAGTTGAGGTAATTTTGTACATCATGAAATTTTTTTTTTGCCTTAATCTAGTAGTACTTACCACTTTTTCCTTTCAAAATCCTTTTTTAAATATTTTCAATATATTGATCTGATGAATCTTATAAACTTTAACCAACGATTTTCAAAGGGAAAATAAATTGAAATAGTGTAAAATAATTTTAAAGGAGGAGTACTTTTAAATAGCATAATTAGTTTTTTAGAGAGACATTTGATATTAAGGAAAAAGAAAAATTTAAATTATGATTAGAAATGGAGCAAATGAAACACAATGCATTTCAATTAGTTGAGGTAATTTTGTACATCAGGAATTAAAAATTCATAAACTTGAACTAAAAATTTTCCAAAGAAATTAAAATAATTCATTAGTTTTGCAGAAAGAAAATACATTGTGATAAAATATAACCTTAAATTTAACTAAAATATTTCTGGTTTTGAAAAATATAATATTATTCTATTAAGTTTTTGTGGCGGTTGTTGGGAAGACTTGAATAAAATTGCTATAGATTCATATAAAATTGTTTATTTTACTGATTAATACATCGTCTATATTTTCTTCAATATTTACTGCAAAACACCCTTATAAGTACACAATATAAAATTATTGATAAAAATAAACTTCAAATAAACTAGTAAAAGTTAAAAAAAAATAAACAAAAGTTCAGGTTGCGTGTTGTAGAAAAAAATATATTGTGATAGCTTAAATAGTATGAATGTGCCAAATCGTCTTCAGTAAAAAAATAGTATTCTTGAAATTCTTTTTAAACTTCCGGTGAACAGCTTTACACCTACTATTGATTATGTTTTTAACATCCTTCTCTGTAACCCCAAACTTTTTCACTACATATTCCATAATATCACCAATTATTTTAGGGTCTAACTTCTTTTTGGACATGTTACCATCAATTGTAGAATGCGCCAAATCGTCTTCAGCGAAGAAATAGTTTACTATGGCTCTTGTGGCGATAGAACACGGTCGAGCAGTCAATGTTTCCAGAACAAATTTGTCTATTCGGGTCTTGTTTGGACCTAAGAATACATTAGCCCGTTCTGGATTTTCCTCAGTTATATTATCTTGTTTCTGAGTACCCTTGAAGTTTTTTTTAAACTTTTTGTAAGCATCATCACACCAAATCATAATTAAATTTTTAACATCCCTTTCTGTAACCATTATCGTCCGAATCATCTTCATATGAATTTTCAATTGTTTTTTCAATTTTCGGAGGTGTTTTGACGTTTTTGAGTATAGCTTAAAATCTAATTGATCGATTTGGTTAACGCTGACATTTTTACAAAAAGAACAAGTTAATATTGATTTTCGCGTTTAGAGAGCCAAACTACATAAGAAAATCATATTGAGACATGGTGGGCAAAAAGGCTTTAAACTATCGTTATTATACGTTAATCGTTTTTATTAAATTCAACAATTATAATTTATTTTTAGACTTTTTTTGAAACTTATGTTGAGCTTCTCTACACCTAACCTGGATTATTTTTTTAACTTCCCTTTCTGTAACCTTATACTTTTTTACTACATATTCCATAATATCAGCAATTATTTTAGGGTCTAACTTCTTCTTGGACATGTTACCATCAATTGTAGAATGTGCTAATTCATCTTCAGCGAAGAAATAGTTTAATATGGCCCTTGTGGCGGTAGAAGACGGTCGATCAGTCAATGTTTTCAGAAGAACTTTGTCTATTCGGGTCTGGTTTGAACCTAAGAATACATAAGCCCGTTCTGGATTTTCCTCAGTAATATTATCTTGATTCTTTGTATCCTTGAAATTTTTTTGAAGCTTCTTGTAAGCATCATTACACCTAAACATAATTAATTTTTTAACATCCTTTTCTGTAACCTCAAACTTCTTCATTACGTATTCAATAATATCACCAATTATTTTAGGGTCAAACTTCTTCTTGTGGAGTTCTCTGGTGGAATTGCCACCTATTGTAGAATGTGCCAAGTCATCTTCAGTAAAGAAATAGTTCAATAATGCTCTTGTGGCAATAGAACAAGGTCGATCACTCAATCTTTCCAAAATAATTTTGTCTACTTGGGTCTGGTTTGAACCTAAGAATACATAAGCCCGTTCTGGATTTTCCTCAGTAATATTATCTTGGTTCTTAGTATCCTTTAACTTTTTTTGAAACTTCTTGTAAGCATCATCACACCTAACCCTAATTAAATTTTTAACATCCTTTTCTGTAACCTCAAACTTCTTCATTACGTATTCAATAATATCACCACTTATTTTAGGGTCTAACTGCTTCTTGCGGAAGGCTGTGGTAGAATTTCCATCGATTTTAGAATGTGCCAAATCGTCTTCAGTAAAGAAATAGGTTAATAGGGCCCTTGTTGTGATAGAACAGGGTCGATCACTCAATGTTTCCAGAATTAATTTGCCTATTTGGGTCTGGTTTGAACCTAAGAATACATTAGCACTTTTATCATTTTGTTTCTTAGTAGCATCATTGAGTTTTTTTTGAAACTTCTGGTGAGCATAACGACACGCATACTTGATTATATTCTTAACTTCCTTCTCTATAACCTCAAACTTTTTCATTACGTATTCAATAATATCACCAATTATTTTAGGGTCCAACTTCTTCTTGTGGTAGGCTGTGGTAGACTTGCCAATGATTGTAGAATTTGCCAAATCGTCTTCAGTAAAGAAATAGTTCAATAATGCTCTTGTGGCGACAGAACCCGGTCGATCACTCAATGTTTCCAGAAAAAATTCGTCTATTTGGGTCTTGTTCGAGCCTAAGAATACATTACCTTCTTCTGGATTGTTTGTATCTTTAATGTTTAGATTCTTTATAGTATTAGGCTTTTCATTCAATTTAGGTTTCTTGAATTGCCCCGTAGGTATGTTAAGTTCCTTGTTCTCATCACTCATTTTTCTTTTCTTGGATTGTGGTTCTTTGGGTTTGGTACTAGGAAAGTTTTTCATTCTTATAGCCATTTCAAACCTTATTTTTTCCAGTTTACGTCCAGTAGTATCATTTTCAGATATAAAACTCACATCCATGGCATTTTTCGTTTTTTTATTATCGCCCGAATCGTCTTTATCAAGATTTATAATTTCCAATGGTGTAAATTGTTTTTCACATTGGTTTTCCCACTCATCTAGTAGATCTTCTAACTCTGATATATTTTCTTCATTGTCTTTATCCTTAAGAATATTGTTTTTCAAAGATTTCTCCTGGTTTTCTTCATGAATGCCTTGAATAATGCATTGGAGGTTGTTTAAAATTATTTTCTGCTGCGAAGTCATTTTGGTACAACACTTTTATGAATCACAAAATAAGTATGATTAAAATGGAATTGACATATTGTTTTATATGTTATTTTTTTACCTGTACTGACTAAACTATACCTATATTATAATAGTAAGGGATTAAAATATTGTTTTCATTTTATGTTGTTTAAACAAATCGTAATCTCCTTTTTTTCCATTAGTTTAGGTAATTTTTACATAACAATTTAAAAGTATCACTATTTAGTTGAGGTAATTTTGTACATCAGGAAATAAGGATTTTTTTTAATAAAAAATTATAAATTTTAACTTAGAATTTTCCAAAGAAAATAAAATAATTCAAGAGTTTTGCAGAAAGAAATTACATTGTGGTGAAATATAACCTTAAATTTAACTAAAATATATCTGAACTTGAAAAATAAAATATTATTCTATTAAGTTTTTGTGGCGGTTGACGGGAAGACTTTAATAAAATTGCTATAGATTCATCTAAAATTGTTATTTTCTTTACTTCTTTCTCTGTAACCTCATACTTTTTCATTATGTATTTTGTAATATCACCAATTATTTTAGAATCAAACTTCTTGTGCTATTCCCCACCCAAATGATAAGGGGGTGAGGGAGGTTACTTGATATAAAATGTACCCTCCAAATTCTTTGAAAAAATATACCAATAAGACAAGTCGTGTTATGTTATTCGAATTACGATGAAATGCTAAAATCGTTTTTATCTTGTGCTAAAATGATCAGCTTAAGCTTTTTTTAACGTTATAACGAATTGTATTGCTAATAAGACAAGAAATCGCATATTACCCTTGTTATTCTTACGGTAATATGCAAGAATGGCCTTTATTATTTTCAGCCATTTGGTGCCAAACAATAAGGATGGTAGTCGGTTGCGCCACCCACAAATTAAAACCGTTCCTGTGCCACTAGTATAGACATATCACTTTTAGAAATCCGCTAAATAAATCCAATATTGGCCCCAGACAAAATATTAGGCATAGACGCGCTCCATATAGGATCAATATTTTGTGCTACTGAGGCTGTGACATAAAAAGAAAAGAAAATGTATTCTTTTAAATTATTTATACAAATCGACCAACTAAAACTTTCTTGAAAAATAAAAATACAATTCAAGTTTTGTGACGGTTTACTAAAAGACCTTGATAAAATTGGTAGGTACAGATTTATTAAATATTGTATATTTTTTGAATAAATACATCGTTTAGACTTTCTACAATATTTACTGCAAAACCTTAGACTATTTAAATACTGCTAATATCACAAGCACTTGTTGATTTAACATTTCCAAATAAAGATTATAATTAATTTAACCTTGTTAAACTTCTGTTGAGCAGCACTACACAGTATTCTTGAAATTCTTTTTAAACTTCCGGTGAACAGCTTTACACCTACTATTGATTATGTGTTTAACATCCTTCTCTGTAACCTCAAACTTTTTCACTACATATTCCATAATATCACCAATTATTTTAGGGTCTAACTTCTTTTTGGACATGTTACCATCAATTGTAGAATGTGCCAAAATAATAAATAAAAAGCAAACAAAAAAGTAAAATGTATATTTTATGTATAAATACATCGTCTATATTATCTACAATATTTACGTATCTTTAACGGTGTGTTCAGTAGTATTCTTGGCCTTTATTTAAAACTTCCTATAAACATCATGACATTTATGCTTGATTGCTTTCCTAACTTTCTTTTCTGCAACCCCGTACTCTTTCACTACGTATTCCACAATATCACCAATTATTTTAGGGTCTAACTTCTTTTTGGACATGTTACCATCAATTGTAGAATGTGCCAAAATAATAAATAAAAAGCAAACAAAAAAGTAAAATGTATATTTTATGTATAAATACATCGTCTATATTATCTACAATATTTACGTATCTTTAACGGTGTGTTCAGTAGTATTCTTGGCCTTTATTTAAAACTTCCTATAAACATCATGACATTTATGCTTGATTGCTTTCCTAACTTTCTTTTCTGCAACCCCGTACTCTTTCACTACGTATTCCACAATATCACCAATTATTTTAGGGTCTAACTTCTTCTTGTGCAATTTCCCATCCATTGTAGAATGTGCCAAATCATCTTCAGTAAAGAAATAGTTCAATAATGCTCTTGTGGCAATAGAACAAGGTCGATTACTCAATCTTTCCAAAATAATTTTGTCTACTTGGGTCTGGTTTGAACCTAAGAATACATAAGCCCGTTCTGGATTTTCCTCAGTAATATTATCTTGGTTCTTAGTATCCTTGAACTTTTTTTTGAAGCTTCCTGTAAGCATCATTACACCTAATCATAATTAATTTTTTAACATCCTTTTCTGTAACCTCAAACTTCTTCATTACGTATTCAATAATATCACCAATTATTTTAGGGTCTAACTGCTTCTTGCGGAAGGCTGTGGTAGAATTTCCATCGATTGTAGAATGTGCCAAATCGTCTTCAGTAAAGAAATAGGTTAATAGGGCCCTTGTTGTGATAGAACACGGTCGATCACTCAATGTTTCCAGAACTAATTTGCCTATTTGGGTCTGGTTTGAACCTAAGAATACATTAGCACTTTTATCATTTTGTTTCTTAGTAGTATCATTGAGTTTCTTTTGAAACTTCTGGTGAGCATAATGACACGCATTATTGATTATTTTCTTAACTTCCTTCTCTATAACCTCAAACTTTTTCATTACATATTCAATAATATCACCAATTATTTTAGGGTCCAACTTCTTCTTGTGGTAGGCTGTGGTAGACATGCCAATGATTGTAGAATTTGCCAAATCGTCTTCAGTAAAGAAATAGTTCAATAATGCTCTTGTGGCGATAGAACAAGGTCGATCACTCAATCTTTCCAAAATAATTTTGTCTACTTGGGTCTGGTTTGAACCTAAGAATACATAAGCCCGTTCTGGATTTTCCTCAGTAATATTATCTTGGTTCTTAGTATCCTTGAACTTTTTTTGAAGCTTCCTGTAAGCATCATTACACCTAATCATAATTAATCTTTTAACATCCCTTTCTGTAACCTTAAACTTCTTCATTACGTATTCAATAATATCACCAATTATTTTAGGGTCTAACTGCTTCTTGCGGAAGGCTGTGGTAGAATTACCATCGATTGTAGAATGTGGCAAATCGTCTTCAGTAAAGAAATAGGTTAACAGGGCCCTTGTTGTGATAGAACACGGTCGATCACTCAATGTTTCCAGAACTAATTTGCCTATTTGGGTCTGGTTTGAACCTAAGAATACATTAGCACTTTTATCATTTTGTTTCTTAGTAGTATCATTGAGTTTCTTTTGAAACTTCTGGTGAGCATAATGACACGCATTCTTGATTATTTTCTTAACTTCCTTCTCTATAACCTCAAACTTTTTCATTACGTATTCAATAATATCACCAATTATTTTAGGGTCCAACTTCTTCTTGTGGTAGGCTGTGGTAGACATGCCAATGATTGTAGAATTTGCCAAATCGTCTTCAGTAAAGAAATAGTTCAATAATGCTCTTGTGGCGACAGAACCCGGTCGATCACTCAATGTTTCCAGAAAAAATTCGTCTATTTGGGTCTTGTTCGAGCCTAAGAATACATTACCTTCTTCTGGATTGTTTGTATCTTTAATGTTTAGTTTCTTTATAGTATTAGGCTTTTCATTCAATTTAGGTTTCTTGAATTGCCGCGTAGGTATGTTAAGTTCCTTGTTCTCATCACTCATTTTTCTTTTCTTGGATTGTGGTTCTTTGGGTTTGGTACTTGGAAAGTTTTTCATTCTTATAGCCATTTCAAACCTTTTTTTTTTCAGTTTACGTTCAGTAGTATCATTTTCAAATATAAAACTCACATCCATGGCATTTTTCGTTTTTTTATTATCGCCCGAATCGTCTTTATCAAGATTTATAATTTCCAATGGTGTAAATTGTTTTTCACATTGGTTTTCCCACTCATCCAGTAGATCTCCTAACTCTGATATATTTTCTTCATTGCTTTTATCCTTAAGAATATTGTTCTTCAAAGATTTCTCCTGGTTTTCTTCATGAATGCCTTGAATAATACATTGGAGGTTGTTTAAAATTATTTTCTGCTGCGAAGTCATTTTGGTACAACACTTTTATGAATCACAAAATAAGTATGATTAAAATGGAATTGACATATTGTTTTATATGTTATTTTTTTACCTGTACTGACTAAACTATACCTATATTATAATAGTAAGGGATTAAAATATTGTTTTCATTTTATGTTGTTTAAACAATTCGTAATCTCCTTTTTTTCCATTAGTTTAGGTAATTTTTACATAACAATTTAAAAGTATCACTATTTAGTTGAGGTAATTTTGTACATCAGGAAATAAGGATTTTCCAAAGAAAATAAAATAATTCAAGAGTTTTGCAGAAAGAAATTACATTGTGGTGAAATATAACCTTAAATTTAACTAAAATATATCTGAACTTGAAAAATAAAATATTATTCTATTAAGTTTTTGTGGCGGTTGACGGGAAGACTTTAATAAAATTGCTATAGATTCATCTAAAATTGTTATTTTCTTTACTTCTTTCTCTGTAACCTCATACTTTTTCATTATGTATTTCGTAATATCACCAATTATTTTAGAATCAAACTTCTTGTGCTATTCCCCACCCAAATGATAAGGGGGTGAGGGAGGTTACTTGATATAAAATGTACCATACAAATTCTTAGAAAAAATATACCAATAAGACAAGTCGTGTTATGTTATTCGAATTACGATGAAATGCTAAAATCGTTTTTATCGTGTGCTAAAATGATCAGCTTAAGCTTTTTTTAACGTTATAACGAATTGTATTGCTAATAAGACAAGAAATCGCATATTACCCTTGTTATTCTTACGGTAATATGCAAGAATGGCCTTTATTATTTTCAGCCATTTGGTGCCAAACAATAAGGATGGTAGTCGGTTGCGCCACCCACAACTTAAAACCGTTCCTGTGCCACTAGTATAGACATATCACTTTTAGAAATCCGCTAAATAAATCCAATATTGGCCCCAGACAAAATATTAGGCATAGACGCGCTCCATATAGGATCAATATTTTGTGCTACTGAGGCTGTGACATAAAAAGAAAAGAAAATGTATTCTTTTAAATTATTTATACAAATCGACCAACTAAAACTTTCTTGAAAAATAAAAATACAATTCAAGTTTTGTGACGGTTTACTAAAAGACCTTGATAAAATTGGTAGGTACAGATTTATTAAATATTGTATATTTTTTGAATAAATACATCGTTTAGACTTTCTACAATATTTACTGCAAAACCTTAGACTATTTAAATACTGCTAATATCACAAGCACTTGTTGATTTAACATTTCCAAATAAAGATTATAATTAATTTAACCTTGTTAAACTTCTGTTGAGCAGCACTACACAGTATTCTTGAAATTCTTTTTAAACTTCCGGTGAACAGCTTTACACCTACTATTGATTATGTGTTTAACATCCTTCTCTGTAACCTCAAACTTTTTCACTACATATTCCATAATATCACCAATTATTTTAGGGTCTAACTTCTTTTTGGACATGTTACCATCAATTGTAGAATGTGCCAAAATAATAAATAAAAAGCAAACAAAAAAGTAAAATGTATATTTTATGTATAAATACATCGTCTATATTATCTACAATATTTACGTATCTTTAACGGTTTGTTCAGTAGTATTCTTGGCCTTTATTTAAAACTTCCTATAAACATCATGACATTTATGCTTGATTGCTTTCCTAACTTTCTTTTCTGCAACCCCGTACTCTTTCACTACGTATTCCACAATATCACCAATTATTTTAGGGTCTAACTTCTTCTTGTGCAATTTCCCATCCATTGTAGAATGTGCCAAATCATCTTCAGTAAAGAAATAGTTCAATAATGCTCTTGTGGCAATAGAACAAGGTCGATTACTCAATCTTTCCAAAATAATTTTGTCTACTTGGGTCTGGTTTGAACCTAAGAATACATAAGCCCGTTCTGGATTTTCCTCAGTAATATTATCTTGGTTCTTAGTATCCTTTAACTTTTTTTTGAAGCTTCCTGTAAGCATCATTACACCTAATCATAATTAATTTTTTAACATCCTTTTCTGTAACCTCAAACTTCTTCATTACGTATTCAATAATATCACCAATTATTTTAGGGTCTAACTGCTTCTTGCGGAAGGCTGTGGTAGAATTTCCATCGATTGTAGAATGTGCCAAATCGTCTTCAGTAAAGAAATAGGTTAATAGGGCCCTTGTTGTGATAGAACACGGTCGATCACTCAATGTTTCCAGAACTAATTTGCCTATTTGGGTCTGGTTTGAACCTAAGAATACATTAGCACTTTTATCATTTTGTTTCTTAGTAGTATCATTGAGTTTCTTTTGAAACTTCTGGTGAGCATAATGACACGCATTATTGATTATTTTCTTAACTTCCTTCTCTATAACCTCAAACTTTTTCATTACATATTCAATAATATCACCAATTATTTTAGGGTCCAACTTCTTCTTGTGGTAGGCTGTGGTAGACATGCCAATGATTGTAGAATTTGCCAAATCGTCTTCAGTAAAGAAATAGTTCAATAATGCTCTTGTGGCGATAGAACAAGGTCGATCACTCAATCTTTCCAAAATAATTTTGTCTACTTGGGTCTGGTTTGAACCTAAGAATACATAAGCCCGTTCTGGATTTTCCTCAGTAATATTATCTTGGTTCTTAGTATCCTTGAACTTTTTTTGAAGCTTCCTGTAAGCATCATTACACCTAATCATAATTAATCTTTTAACATCCCTTTCTGTAACCTCAAACTTCTTCATTACGTATTCAATAATATCACCAATTATTTTAGGGTCTAACTGCTTCTTGCGGAAGGCTGTGGTAGAATTACCATCGATTGTAGAATGTGCCAAATCGTCTTCAGTAAAGAAATAGGTTAACAGGGCCCTTGTTGTGATAGAACACGGTCGATCACTCAATGTTTCCAGAACTAATTTGCCTATTTGGGTCTGGTTTGAACCTAAGAATACATTAGCACTTTTATCATTTTGTTTCTTAGTAGTATCATTGAGTTTCTTTTGAAACTTCTGGTGAGCATAATGACACGCATTCTTGATTATTTTCTTAACTTCCTTCTCTATAACCTCAAACTTTTTCATTACGTATTCAATAATATCACCAATTATTTTAGGGTCCAACTTCTTCTTGTGGTAGGCTGTGGTAGACGTGCCAATGATTGTAGAATTTGCCAAATCGACTTCAGTAAAGAAATAGTTCAATAATGCTCTTGTGGCGACAGAACCCGGTCGATCACTCAATGTTTCCAGAAAAAATTTGTCTATTTGGGTCTTGTTCGAGCCTAAGAATGCATTACCTTCTTCTGGATTGTTTGTATCTTTAATGTTTAGCTTCTTTATAGTATTAGGCTTTTCATTCAATTTAGGTTTCTTGAATTGCCGCGTAGGTATGTTAAGTTCCTTGTTCTCATCACTCATTTTTCTTTTCTTGGATTGTGGTTCTTTGGGTTTGGTACTTGGAAAGTTTTTCATTCTTATAGCCATTTCAAACCTTTTTTTTTTCAGTTTACGTTCAGTAGTATCATTTTCAAATATAAAACTCACATCCATGGCATTTTTCGTTTTTTCATTATCGTCCGAATCATCTCCATCAACATTTATAATTTCCAATGGTGTAAATTGTTTTTCACATTGGTTTTCCCACTCATCTAGTAGATCTCCTAACTCTGATATATGTTCTTCATTATTTTTATCCTTAAGAATATTATTCTCCAAAGATTTCTCCTGGTTTTCTTTATGAATGCCTTGAATGATGCATTGAAGGTCGTTTAAAATTCTTTTCTGCTTTGAAGTCATTTTGGTACAACACTTTTATGAATCAAAAAAATAAGTATGATTAAAATGGAATTGACATATTGTTTTATATGTTATTTTTTTACCTGTACTGACTAAAGTGTACCTCTATATAATGGTAAAGGATTAAAATTTGGTTTTTATTTTATGTTGTTATTAAACAATTCAATTCAATTAGTCGAGGTAATTTTGTACATCACGAAATAGGAATTTTGCCTGAATCTGAAAGTACCACTATTTCCATTCAAAATCCCTTTTTAAATAAAAACTTATAAACTTTAACTAACGATATTACAAAGAATGGAAAATAAATTAAAATAATTCAAAAGGACTTTGAGTTTGCACAAAAAAGATTTTCTGTTTTTCAATATATAAAATTTTCAAAACTCAAAATAATAAATAAAAAGTAAAATGTATATTATATGTATAAATACATCGTCTATATTATCTACAATATTTACGTATCTTTAACGGTTTGTTCAGTAGTATTCTTGGCCTTTATTTGAAACTTCCTATAAACATCATGACATTTATGCTTGATTGCTTTCCTAACTTCCTTCTCTGCAACCTTGCACTTTTTCACTACGTATTCCACAATATCACCAATTATTTTAGGGTCTAACTTCTTCTTGTGCAATTTCCCATCCATTGTAGAATGTGCCAAAACATCTTCAGTAAAAAAATGGTTTAATAAGGCTCTTGTGGCGATACCCGGTCTATCACTTAATGTTGTCAGAAAAAAATTGTCTATTTGGGTCTGGTTTGAGCCTAATGATACATTAGCACGTTCTAGATTCTCGTCAGCATTATTATTTTGTTTCTTGGTAGTCCTCACGAACTGCCGATGAGCATCATGATACCTAATCATGATTATTTTCTTAACTTTCTCCTCGGTAACCCCGTACATTTTCATAACGTATTCAACAATATCACCAATTATTTTAGGGTCTAACTTCTTCTTGTGCAATTTTCCATCTAATGTAGACTGTACCAAATCGTCCTCAGTAAAATAACATTTCAGTAAGGCTCTTGTGGTGATAGAACAGGTTTTATCACTCAATGTTTTCAGAAGAGATTCATCTACTTGGGTCTTGTTTGAACCTAAGAATACAGTAGTACGTTCTGTATTTACGTCATTTTGTTCCTTAGTAGTATTCTTGGACTTCTGTCGAATCTTCTGTTGAGCTTCACTACACCTAATCTGGATAATTTTTTTTACTTCCTTCTCTGGGACTTCAAACGTTTTCATTGCGTATTCAATAATATCACCAATTATTTTAGAGTCTAACTTCTTCTTCTCGAAGACTGTGGTAGAATTGCCATCGATTGTAGAATGTGCCAAAACATCTTCAGTAAAGAAATTATTTAATAAGGCCCTTGTGGCGATAGAACACGGTCGATTACTTAATGTTTTCAGAAGAGATTCATCTACTCGGGTCTTGTTTGTGCCTAAGAACACATTAGCACGATCTGAATTTTCGCCAGTATTATCATTTTGTTTCTTAGTAGTATTCTTGAACTTCTTTTGAAACTTCTGGCGAGCCACACTATATCTAGCCTTGATTAATTTTTTAACATCATTTTCAGTAACCTCAAACTTTTTCATTACGTATTCAATTATATCACCAATTATTTTAGGGTCCAAATGCATCTTGTGGATGACTGCGGAGGCATTTCCATCAATTATAGAATGTGCCAAATCCTCTTCAGTAAAGAAATAGTTCAATAAGGCTCTCGTGGCGACGTCACACGGTATATTACTCATTGCTTCCAAAATAAATCCGTCTATTTGGGTCTTGTTTGAACCCAAGAATACATTAGCACGTTCTGGATTTTCGTCAATTGTATCATTTTGTTTCTTATTCATTTGGAGCTTCTGATAAGCATTATAGCACCTATTCCTGATAAATTTTTTAACATCCTTTTCTGTAACCTCAAACTTTTTCTTTGCGTATTCAATAATATCACCAATTATTTTAGGGTCTAATATCTTCTTGTGCATGGCTGTTGTAGAATTGATATCGATGGTAGAAATTGCCAAAACGTCATCAGCAAAGAAATAGTTCATTAAGGCTCTTGTGGCGATAGAACAAGGTATATTACCCATTGCTTCCAAAAGAAATTCGTCTATTTGGGTCTTGTTTGAGCCCAAGAATACATAACCCTGTTCTGGATTGTTTGTGTCTTCAATGTTTGGGTTTTCTGCAACAGATGTACTATTGCTTTGTTCCTTAGTAGTCTTACGGTTATTACTAGGCTTTTCACTCAATCTAGGCTTCTTGAATTGCCGCGTAGTTATGTTAAGTTCCTTGTCCTCATCACTCATTTTCCTTTTCTTGGATTGTGGTTCTTTGGGTTTGGTACTAGGAAAGTTTTTCATTCTTATAGCCATTTCAAACCTTATTTTTTCCAGTTTACGTTCAGTAGTATCATTTTCAGATATAAAACTCACATCCATGGCATTTTTCGTTTTTTCATTATCGTCCGAATCATCTCCATCAAGATTTATAATTTCCAATGGTGTAAATTGTTTCTCACATTGGTTTTCCCAGTCATCTAGTAGATCTCCTAACTCTGATAAATTTTCTTCATTGTTTTTATCCTTAAGAATATTATTTTTCAAAGATTTCTCCTGGTTTTCTTCATGAATGCCTTGAATGATGCATTGTAGATCGTTTAAAATTCTTTTTTGCTTTGAAGTCATTTTGTTAGAACACTTTGTATGAATCACAAAATAAGTATAATTAAAATGTAACTAACCTATTGTTTTATATGTTATTGTTTTACCTTACTGACTAAAGTATACCTAAATTATAATGGGATTAAAATATTGTTTTCATTTTATGTTGTTTTGAATCAACACATCGTAATCCCCTTTATTCAATTAGTTGAGGTAATTTTGTACATCATGAAATAAAAATTTTGCCTGAATCTAAAATTAACTTTTTCCTTTCAAAATCCGTTTTTAAATATTTTCAATATATTTCTGATGAATTTTAAAAACTTTAACTAAACATTTTCCAAAGAAGGAAAAAAAATTGAAATAATTTAAAATGATTTTAAAGGTGAAGAGTAGTACTTTTAGATAGTATAATGAGTTTTTCAGATAGAAAATACATTTTGATGAAATATAAATCAAGTGTTAAAGAAAACTTCGTCAAATTTTGTAGACATTTGATATTAAAGGAAAAACAAAATTTAAATTATAAATAAAAATGGACCAACCAAAATTTTTCTTCTTTTGAAATTAATATAAATAATTTTTTTAATAATTTTATTAACGGTTAACGATATTTGTGCCTAAAAATTTACAAATTATTCAGGTTCGAAGTACATCGGAATCAAACCGTTTTATAAATAAAAAAAGAACAAAATTTGCAGCTTTAAAAACCAATAAATTATGTTAAATTTTATTAGGGCTACCAATAAGAAATGTAATTAAATTTAAATTAACAACTAATAGATTAATTTAAGATTCCAAAAACAATGTAAACATTATAAATGCAGTAATACGGTAATTTTAAAAGCACTGTTCAGGATATAAATTAACAAGTTCTCTGTTAAAAGTATTGCTGAAATACACATGATTATTCACTTAGGGATAGTACCAAAATTATTCTTGTGTTAAATTAAATAAGTGAATCTGATTGGTTAAAATTCTTTAACAGTATTAAAAATAACATTATTGCCCTCAATAGGTAATCATTATGTACCTTAAAATTACAATAAACATAAATAAAACATAAATATTTAATGTTTATGTAGCTTAATTTTTACTATTTAATATTACTTTTTCAAACACCTTTAAATAGCATTTTTTTATTAGTCATTTTGATCAAATATACAATTTGTGGTATTTAAAACCGTTGTATCTTATTAGCAAAGCATATTTTTACAGTTTTGAGTTTATATTAGGAAGAACATTGTGTTAAGGATTAAAATATCGTTTGCATTTTATGTTATTTAAAAAAAATTTAATTCGATTAGTGGAGGAAATTTTGAATTGTTTTTTTTTTCAATTTTCGGAGGTGTTTTGACGTTTTTGAGTATAGCTTGAAATCTAATTGATCAATTAGTGAGCTAAACTACAGAAAATCATAGTAAGGTGGGCAAAATGGCTGTATTATACGTTAATCTTTTTTATTAAATGCTTTCTTTTAACAATTATAATTTTTTTTTAGACTTTTTTTGAAACTTATATTGAGCTTCACTACACCTACCCCGGATTACTTTTTTTACTTCCTTTTCTGCAACCGTATACTTTTTCACTACATATTCCATAATATCAGCAATTATTTCAGGGTCTAACTTCTTCTTGGACATTTTACCATCAATTGTAGAATGTGCCAAATCATCTTCAGCGAAGAAATAGTTTAATATGGCTCTTGTGGCGGTAGAACACGGTCGATCAGTCAATGTTTTCAGAAGAAATTTGTCTATTCGGGTCTTGTTTGAACCTAAGAATACATAAGACGGTTCTGGATTTTCCTCAGTAATATTATCTTGGTTCTTAGTATTCTTGAACTTTTTTTTCTTCTTGTAAGCATCATTGCACCTAATTTTAATTAATTTTTTAACATCCTTATCTGTAACCTCATACTTCTTCATTACGTATTCAATAATATCACCAATTATTTTAGGGTTAAACTTCTTCTTGTGGAGTTCTCTGGTGGAATTTCCACCGATTGTAGAATGTGCCAAATCATCTTCAGTAAAGAAATAGTTCAATAATGCTCTTGTGGCGATAGAACACGGTCGATCACTCAATTTTTTCAGAACAAATTTGTCTATTTGGGTCTTGTTTGAGCCTAAGATTACATTAGCACGTTCTGGATCTTCATCAGTATTATCATTTTGTTTCTTAGTGGTATCCTTGAACTTCCTCCGTAACTTCTGCTGAGTCCCACCACATTTAATATTGATTAGTTTTTTAACATACTCTTCAGTAAGCTTGAACTTTTTCATTAGGTATTCAATAATATCACCAATAATTTTAGGGTCCAACTTCGTCTTGTGGAAGGCTATGGTAGAATAGCCATCGATTGTAGAATGCGCCAAGTTATCTTCAGTAAAGAAATAGTTCAATAATGCTCTTGTAGCGGTAGAACACTTTCGACCAGTCAATGTTTCCAGAAACAATTCGTCTATTTGGGTCTTGTTCGAGCCTAAGAATACATTTTCCCGTTCTGGATTGTTTGTACCTCTAATGTTTAGTTTCTTTACAGTATTGGGCTTATTTCTAGTTTGACTAGGCTTTTCATTCAATTTAGGTTTCTTGAATTGCCGCTTAGGTATGTTAAGTTCCTTGTTCTTATCACTCATTTTCCTTTTCTTGGATTGTGTTTCTTTGGGTTTGGTACTTGGAAAGTTTTTCATTCTTATAGCCATTTCCAACCTTATTTTTTCCTGTTTACGTTCATTAGTATCATTTTCAGATATAAAACTCACATCCATGGCATTTTTCGTTTTTTTATTATCGTCCGAATCGTCTTTATCAAGATTTATAATTTCCAATGGTTTAAATTGTTTTTCACATTGGTTTTCCCATTCATCTAGTAGATCTCCCAACTCCGATATATTTTCTTCATTGTTTTCATCCATAAGAATATTATTCTTCAAAGATTTCTCCTGGTTTTCTTTATGAATGCCTTGAATAATGCATAATGGTGTAAATTGTTTCTCACATTGGTTTTCCCACTCATCCAGTAGATCTCCTAACTCCGATATATTTTCTTCATTGTTTTTATCCATATTATTCTTCAAAGATTTCTCCTGGTTTTCTTTATGAATGCCTTGAATAGTGCATTGGAGGTTGTTTAAAATTATTTCCTGCTTTGAAGTCATTTTGGTGCAACAGTTTTATGAACCACAAAATAATTATGATTAAAATGGAATTGACATATTGTTTTATTTGTTATTTTTTTTACCTGTACTAAAGTATACCTTAATTGTATTGGTAAAGGATTAAAATATTGTTTGCATTCTATCTTGTTATTAAACAATTTAATTCAATTAATTAAGGTAATTTTGTACATCACGAAATGGGGATTTTGCCTAATTTTAAAAGTACCACTTTTTCCCTTCGAATCCCGTTTTAAATAAAAACTACCGATTTTCAAAAAGAATTGAAAATAAATTAAAATTGTTCAAAAGGGGAGAGTAGAACTTTCAGATGGTATCGTGACTTTTGCAGAAAGAAAATAAATTGTGATGAAATATAACCTTAAATATTTTATTTAAAAAAAAAGATTATGATTAAAAATTTAAATAAAAATATTATTCAATTAGATTTGTGTAACGGTTGACGGAAAGACTTTAATAAAAATGCTATAGATTTATGTAAAATTATATATTATATGGATAAATTCATCGTCTAAATTTTCAACAATATTCCCTGCAAAACACCCTTACAATATAAGAGCATTTGTATTCTTAAACTTCTTACGACCATAACTACACCTAATCATAATTAATTTCTTAACATTCTTCTCTGTAACTTCGTACTCATTACTACTTCATTGCGTGTTCAATAATATCATCAATTATTTTACTTCTTCTTGTAAAGAAATTTGTCTATTTGGGTCTTTTTCGTTCGAGCCTAAAAATACATAACCATGTTCTAAATTGTTTGGTTTTCCTGCTACAGCTGTACTATCATTTTGTTTCCTAGTTTCTGGGCTTTTTATTCAGTCTAAGCTTCTTGAATTGATGCGTAAGAATGTTTTTTGTTTTCATCGTTAATTTTCCTTTTCTTGGATTGTGGTTCTTTGGGTTTAGTACTGGGAAAGTTCTTCATTCTTATAAACATTTCCAGATATAAAACTCACATACATGGCATTTTTGGTTTTTTCATTATCGTCCGAATCATCTTTATATGAATTTTCAATTGTTTTTTTTTTCAATTTTCGGAGGTGTTTTGACGTTGGCTTTAAACTATCGTTATTATACGTTAATCGTTTTTATTAAATTCAACAATTATAATTTATTTTTAGACTTTTTTTGAAACTTATGATGAGCTCCATTACACCTAATCCGGATTACTTTTTTAACTTCCTTTTCTGCAACCTTATACTTTTTTACTACATATTCCATAATATCAGCAATTATTTTAGGGTCTAACTCCTTCTTGGACATGTTACCATCAATTGTAGAATGTGCCAATTCATCTTCAGTGAAGAAATAGTTTAATATGGCCCTTGTGGCAGTAGAACACGGTCGATCAGTCAATGTTTTCAGAAGAAATTTGTCTATTCGGGTCTTGTTTGAACCTAAGAATACATAAGCCCGTTCTGAATTTTCCTCAGTAATATTATTGTGGTTCTTAGTATCCTTGAACTTTTTTTTAAACTTCTTGTAAGCATCATGACACCTAATCATAATTAATTTTTTAACATCCTTTTCTGTAACCTCAAACTTCTTCATTACGTATTCAATAATATCACCAATTATTTTAGGGTCAAACTTCTTCTTGTGAAGGACATTGGTAGAATTACCACCGATTGTAGAATGTGCCAAGACATCTTCAGTAAAGAAATAGTTCAATAATGCTCTTGTGGCGATAGAACAAGGTCGATCACTCAATCTTTCCAAAAAAATTTTGTCTACTTGGGTCTGGTTTGAACCTAAGAATGCATTATCACGTTCTGGATTTTCTTCAGTAATATCATATTGTTTCTTAGTAGCATCCTTGGACTCCATTTTAAACTTCTGGTTAGCATTCTTACACCTAATCAGAATTAATTGTTTAACATCCTTCTCTGTAACATCGAACTTTCTTCTTACGTATTCAATAATATCACCACTTATTTTAGAGTCTAACTGCTTCTTGCGGAAGGCTGTGGAAGAATTACCATCGATTGTAGAATGTGCCAAATCGTCTTCAGTAAAAAAATAGTTTAACAAGGCTCTTGTGGCGATAGAACACGGTGTATCTATCAATGCTGCCAGAAGAAATTCGTCTATTTGGGTCTTGTTTGAGCCTAAGAATACATAACCCCGTTCTGGATTGTTTGTGTCTTTATTGTTCTGTTTCTTAGAAGTTCTACTCTTATTTCTAGTTTGACTAGGCTTTTCATTCAATTTAGGTTTCTTGAATTGCCGCGTAGGTATGTTAAGTTCCTTGTTCTCATCACTCATTTTCCTTTTTTTGGATTGTGGTTCTTTGAGTTTGGTACTTGGAAAGTTTTTCATTCTTATAGCCATTTCCAACCTTATTTTTTCCAATTTACGTTCATTATTGTCCGAATCATCTTCATTAATATTTATAATTTCCAATGGTGCTAATTGTTTTTCGCATTGTTTTTCCCAGTCATCCAGTAGATCTTTTAGGTCTGATATATTTTCTTCAGTATTTCTATCTTTACGTTCAGTAGTATCATTTTCAGATATGAAACTCACATCCATGGCATTTTTCGTTTTTTTATTATCGCCCGAATCGTCTTTATCAAGATTTATAATTTCCAATGGTGTAAATTGTTTTTCACATTGGTTTTCCCACTCATCCAGTAGATCTCCTAACTCTGATATATTTTCTTCATTGTTTTTATCCTTAAGAACATTATTCGTCAAAGATTTCTCCTGGTTTTCTTCATGAATGCCTTGAATAATGCATTGGAGGTTGTTTAAAATTATTTCCTGCTTTGAAGTCATTTTGGTACAACACTTTTATGAATCACAAAATAAGTATGATTAAAATGGAATTGACATATTGTTTTATATGTTATTTTTTTACCTGTACTGACTAAACTATACCTATATTATAATAGTAAGGGATTAAAATATTGTTTTCATTTTATGTTGTTTAAACAATTCGTAATCTCCTTTTTTTCAATTAGTTTAGGTAATTTTTACATAACAATTTAAAAGTATCACTTTTTAGTTGAGGTAATTTTGTACATCAGGAAATAAGGATTTTTTTAAATAAAAAATTATAAACTTTAACTTACAATTTTCCAATTTAACTAAAATATATCCGAACTTGTGGCGATTGACGGGAAGACTTTAATAAAATTGCTATAGATTCATATAAAATTGTTATTTTCTTAACTTCTTTCTCTGTAACCTCATACTTTTTCATTATGTATTCCGTAATATCACCAATTATTTTAGGGTCAAACTTCTTGTGCTATCGATTGAAGAATGTGCCTTCAGTAAAGAAATAGTATAATAAGAACTATAAGAACTATATAACTATATAAGAAATAGTATAATAGGGCTTCTGTAGTGACAGAACAAGATCTATCATGCAATGTTGCAAAACATCGTCAAATTTTGTAAACCTCTCCAGTAGCACAAAGATATTGGCCAATATATCTTTCGTCAGATTTTTTCGAGCATTGTCCAATATTGAAACCCAACATTGGCCCAAAGTTGTTTGACATTATATAACCGATAATGTTGAGGGAGAAATTGAAATAAAAACGTTAGTTTTCAGAAAATGTTTATTGTAGGTACTTAGGGGCGTCGTAGCGGGGGAGGGGGGTGACAATGCCCACCCAAATGATAAGGGGGAGAGGGAGGTGACTTGATATGAAATGCTAAAATCGTTTGTATCGTGTGCTAAAATAATCAGCTCGAGCTGTATTAACGTAATAACGAATTGTATTGCTAATATTAAGACAAGAAATCGCATATTACCCTTGTTATTCTTACGGTAATATGCAAGAATGGCCTTTATTATTTTCAGCCACAACCACTGGCTTGCAGAGAGATTGCAAAACTTTTCTCGTCAGTATTATAATTTTGTTTCTTAGCAGTATTTTTGAACTTCTTTTGAAATTTATATAAATAATTGTCCGATTTATGCAAAACCAACACGTCTAATAACCATGAAACTGGTATGTGTTTAAAAGTGTTTTTTGATCGTGAGGTGTAAAATGGAAAATCATAAATTTTTCAGTTTTAAATATTTTTATTAGCGGTTTTTTTTCTTGGCCTTCCTAAAGTTATAAAAAACATCATTACACTCCATCTTGATTACGTTCTTAACTTTATTCTCTGTAAAATAATTCAAAAGGACTTTAAAAGAGGAAAGTGGTACTTTTAGATGGTATCATGAGTTTGCACAAAAAAATTACATTGTGATGAAATATAATAGACCAACTAAAATATTTCTGAACTTATATATATATTCAATTGTGTGATGGTCGACAGGAAGACTTTGATAAAATTGCCATAGATTTAAAACTGTATATTTTATGGATAAACACATCGTCTATATATATATTTTATTTTTTAGTTGTATTCTAAAATTTATTATGAGCATCATAACACCTAACCATGATTAATCTCCTAACATCATTCTCTGTAACCTTGTACTCTGATATTACGTATTCCATAATATCACCAATTATTTTAGGGTCCAACATCTTCTTGGGCATTTTACCATCAACTGTAGAGTGGACCAAGTCATCTTCAGCGAAGAAATAGTTTAATTAGGCTCTTGTGGCAATGTTTTTAGAAGCTATTCCCCTGTTTGGAACGTTCTGGATTTGTCTCAATATTTTTATTGTCCTTAATAGACTTCTTTTGAAGCATTTGTTGAGCTGTACTACACCTACCCATAATTATTTTTTTAATGTCCTTCTCTGTCGCCTTAAATGTTTTCATTGCGTATTCAATAATATCACCAATTATTTTAGGATCTAATTTCTCCTTGTGGAAGATTATGGTAGACTTGCCATCGATTGTAGAATGTGCCAAAACGTCTTCAGTAAAGAAATGGTTCAATAACGCTCTTGTGGCGATAGAACACGGACTATCACTTAATGTTTTCAGTTTAAATTCGTCTATTTGGGTCTTGTTTGAACCCAAGGAAACATTGACACGTTCTGAATTTTCGTCGGTATTATAATTTTCTTTCTTAGTAGTTTTCTTGGACTGTTGAAATTTCTGGTGAGCATTACAACACCTAATCATGATATATAATATCACCAATTATTTTAGGATCCAACTTCTTCTTGTGAGAGATGGTGGAATTTCCATCGATTGTAGAATGCGCCAAATCGTCTTCAGTAAAAAAATAGTTCAATAAGCCCCTTGTGGTTATAGAACACGGTTTATCACTTAATGTTGACAAAATAAATTCGTCTATTTGGGTATTGTTTGAACCTAAGAATACTTTAGCACGTTCTGAATTTTCGTCAGCATTATCATTGTGTTTCTTAGTAGTATCCTTGAACTTCTTTTGAAACTTCTGATGAACCATGCTACATCTAACCTTGATTAATTGTTTAACATCTTTCTCTGTAACATCAAACGTTTTTATTGCGTATTCAATAATATCACCAATTATTTTAGGGTCTAACTTCTTCTTGTGGTAGGCTGTGGTAGAATTGCCAATAATAGTAGAATGTGCCAAATCGTCTTGAGTAAAGAAATAGTGTAGTAAGGCTCTTGTGGCGACAGCACACGGTCGATCACTCAATGTTTTTAGAAAAAAATCGTCTATTTGGGTCTTGTTTGAACCTAAGAATACATTAGCACGTTCTGGATTTTCAGTATTACCATTTTGTATCTTAGTAGTATTCTTGAACTTCTGATGAGCATTATAACACTTGGTCCTGATTAATTTCTTAGCATCCTTCTCTGTAACTTCAAACTTTTTCATTAGGTATTCGATAATATCACCAATTATATTAGGGTCAAATTTCTTCTTGTGTAGGACTGTGATAGAATTGATATCGATTGTAGAATTTGCCAAATCGTCTCCAGTAAAGAAATAGTTTAATAAGGCTCCTGTAGCGGTAGCTCCACACGGTGAATGACTTAATGTTTCGAGAAAAAAATTGTCTATTTGGGTCTTTTTTGAGCCTAAGAATACATAACCCCGTTCTGAATTATTTGGTTTTTCTGCTACTGCTTTATTTAATCTAGGCTTCTTGAATTGACTTGTAGGTATGTTAAGTTCCTTGTTCTCATCACTCATTTTCCTTTTCTTGGATTGTGGTTCTTTGGGTTTAGTACTGGGAAAGTTTTTCATTCTTATACCCATTTCCAACCTTATTTTTTCCAGTTTACGTTCAGTAGTATCATTTTCAGATATAAAACTCAAATCCATGGCATTTTTCGTTTTTTCATTATCGTCCGAATCATCTCCATCAAGATTTATAATGTAACTCTTGTTGATACTTCTGTATTAAGGAACAATTTTCCCCGCATTGATATATTAGGTTGTAATATTATGTATAGGGATCAAAGTGTTATTATTTTTATTTTATACATTCCTCCTCAGTTATCATGTATTGAATTTGTCTCGTTTATTGAAGAGCTTGAACTATATTTATTAAATCATAAAAACATTGTAGTTTTGGGTGACTTTAATGTTAACAAATTTATTAAGATGGATCTAAATAACCTAAAGTGTCAAGCCATCTATGATCTACTTAATGTTACTGGCCTAAATCAATTCAATAACATCCTAAATAATCACAACAGCCTTTTAGACCTAGTAATTAGCAACTTGGAGTGTGAGGTGTATCATGATACACAACCTTTTGTACCATTAGATCCTTATCACCCTGCTTTACAAATTAACTACAAAATAACCTCTTCTAAGCCTGCAATATTTGATACATATAAAAATATACGAACATATAACTTTAAGAAGGCGGACTTTATCGGTTTGTATGAATCACTTCGTCAGGTTGATTGGAACTTTTTAGTAGCCCTCAACGATGCTGACTCTATGTGTCAGGGATTTTATGATAAACTTTATAATATCCTTAATAATTTCGTGCCAATGTCAAAGAATATTAAATGCAAATATCCAAAATGGTATAGTCCTTCAATCATATACAAATTAAAAACTAAAGATAAATATCATCGCAAATACAAGCGCTCGGGTTTGGTCTCTGATTATATTGAATTTTCAAGACTTAGAGCTAGTGTTAAACGTGACGTTACTAATGCATATAAAACATATTTAGCCACAGTTGAAAACAGCATTAAAAACGATCCGAATAGCTTCTGGACATACATTCGTGATAAGAAGGGATCGTCTAGGATTCCTGGTAAGATATATAATAATAATAATAATAATAATATATTTATTTGCCAATAAGATCATATACAATGACATAAGCATGGTCAGAAAAAGAACAAAATTGTAAGACAAAAACACTAACTAGACAAATTTTAAAAGGAAATATATACATATAGTAATTTTTCAACTCAAAGAAGTACACATTAACATAAAAAATTAACTGTAAAACAAAAAACAAGTAAATAACATAGGTATTGATGTATAAATAACATATTGATGTATAAATAAAAAATGTACAAAACAATTTGAGACAAAAAGTTGTAATTGCACAAAAAAACAGACAATCAATATATTAGCATTTAAATTTTATAGTGATAGACGATTAAAACGGACATTGTAAAAACTCATTCAGAGAGTAAAAACAGTGGTGTAAAAGGAACTGTTTTACTGTTTGTTTAAAATTTGTTATAGACTGTATCTCCTTTATATCATTGGGCAACTTGTTTGAGACCGCTATACACCTGTACAAAACACTTTTGTGAAATAATTCAGACCTATGTAATGGAACTCTTAATAGTGCACCGCCTCTCATATTCATGTTATTAAACACGTCCATATTTCTAGTAAACAGTCCTGGATTTTTTTTTGTAAACAA